GCTATCATTAGAAAACTGTCCGCTTATGACAAATGCAATGATATTGTCATTCATGTGGCGATGGATAACATGGTTGTCATCGATGAGATCAGTGAGTGTTTGGCATACCTTCTCACTCGCGTCCATAACTTGAAATTGATTTTTATGAACAGAAAACTCTTGTAAACCCCAAGAGAACGGAACCGACGATTCAGATAATGAAGCGAATGACAAGAAATCATGGAAACCATTGGTTTTATTTATTCCTCTGCGGTTGGGTTTGTCTGAAATAAATCCCATCTATTTTAAGTCACTTAAGACGACGTTCGCAATGAAGCAATCGTTGGGTATAATCGGCGGTCGACCCAATCATGCCTTATATCTGATCGGATGTGTGGCCAACGAACTGGTCGTCTTAGACCCGCACACGACTCAGCCATTTGTCGACTTAGAGGAGGCCGAGGCCGACGACTCAACCTACCACTGCCCGCGAGCCTCTCGGATGGACATCAGTCTACTCGACCCGTCCATCGCTTTGTGTTTCTATTGCGACACCGAAGAGGAGTTTGACAATTGGTGTCAATTGACATACAAAGCACTCATTTTAGGTGAAAAACAGTCACTCTTTGAATTAACTAAAGAAAGGCCATCGCATTGGCCCTCATATGAGGAACAGATCGACGCCAACACAGCCATCGTGTCGACGGGCACCTCAACCCTCAACTCAAACACATGCGAGTCGTTCACAGAACTGGAGGACGCAAACAGAGATGATTCGGACGAGGAGTTTGAGTTATTGGGATAACAGTCGTGTCTATTATCTCGTATTTGTGACCAATTTTTGTTATATAATGTGTTTTATAAACTATAAAATTGTCTTTTTATAAGACTTGTAAATTGCAATCAAATCGCAAATATTTTTTAATTACAAAACAAAATGCATCAAAATATTTAAAAATAAATATTGAACAAAATATTAATTATGTTGTGAATTGTTTCATAAATTAAATTATATTAACAATCATTTTATACTTATATTTTCTCTTGTAATTTGCTTTAATTTAAACAACTCTTATAAAAAAGTTTAGAAAACATTTAAACTAAAGGTTTAGAAATTAACAGTTTATTGAAAAAATTTATTATAAAACAGATAATTAATTTTAATAAATTGTAAATTCAACCAGATTATTTGTTTAATATATGAATTATAATATTGTAGTTATGATAATAATGANATAATAATGACTAAAGTTATTAAGAACTATACTCTCATTGACTAAACTATCCGTTTTTCTTATGAATGTATTCATTCCTATCAAATCCCGGGATCTTTTGAGTGGTTGTCTTAATGAACATATCTTCCAGACTGGGGGCCGGTGTTTGTCGCTGAACGGCATTCCGTGTGTCGATAATGTCGTCCACATCTTTGAACTCCTTTTCCAGTTCTGTCTCGTCGTCCAACTCATCGATGTGTTCGTAGTCGTGAGCCTTTGCAGTAACGGTGCTCTCAGTCTGCACCTCCTTATTGATGCTATAATCGGGAAATACATTCTCCCACTGGAGCTCATTAACCGTGAAATCGGCTTTTGGTTTGTATAGACAGACCGTATATACGCCTCCTTTGGGTTCTTCAATATTCTGGACCTGAGCGCAGCCCACGGTTGTCGTGGGACTCCAAACCAGTTGTATAAAGTGTCTAACCGTCCCGTTATGGGATTGTCGGTAATCCCAGTCATAGTTAATCACTTCTCCATACCATTTGCCTATAGAATCGCTGCAAC